TGAACTGCAGAACACCTATCAACAATATTTGGCTGCTAGAGAATTAAAGAAGCAATCTTGGAGATATCACAGAAAATATCAGACATGGTTTCAAAGACATGAAGAGCCAAAAGTTGCTACAGATGAATATGAGCAGGGAACTTATGTGTACTTCGATTTCCATGTTAATAATGATGACCTACAACATGGATGGTATGTTCACTTTTATTAACCTCTGTGTCAATTTTTCCGTTTGCTACCTAATTTCTTGTTGACTTGTGTACATGTAAGATGTGAGCAATATGATAGATCCCAAATCACCAAATACTACACACGTAAGCTTGTGAGGCAAGAGGGACCATGTAATTAGTAAGGAGAGAGGATTCGTGTGGGTCCCTAGGAATATTGTTAGTTAAAGGGAGTGCTGTAAGATAAGAGTGTAATTTCTGTGACGTGAGGAGAAGAGGGATCTAAGAGAACGTTGCTGGGGGTGGGTATGTATGTTTTTGGATTCCAATTCTGTGAGACTGTTGAGTTCTTGTGGGAGAGTTGGGAAGCTCTTAAATCTCCCTTGTTTGCTGCACTGCTTCATAAACAATATTGGGTCTTATAACAATCTTTTGTTTCGTAACGCTTTACTCTTTATGGAGATGTTAATGAGCTGATCTGATGCAATATAAATATGATCGTGAGATTTAGAACATTAAGAAGCTTGTGGTGCCAATTACCTTTTTGTTCCTTTCCATTGTTTTATAAAAGAAATCATTAGTTGAAATTACAAGTTCAGTGGCTAGTGAAAAGAGTTACTAATGCCAAAATTTTCCACAGATACAGTTCCATTTTTGGTGGTCTCACTGTGGTATTTTAGGTCACACAAAAAGTTGGTCTTCAATGATCTGAAGAAATAATTGGCAAGGCTCTTTGGAAAGCCGAGGGTCTTGGAAAATCTATTAGATTGCTGAACACTAAAAACTAAACAACCTTAACATACTTCACATGTATCCTAACTGTTGTGATGAAACATGTCCCCACCCTCCTATAGAAAAAAATCTCAAATTATATCTGCGTATCATGTTGGTAACCATAACCGTATTTGATCTTTGTAATGTAGGTGCCAAAGGATTAAAACTGAGTTTACCTTTGAGTATAACTACCTTGAAGATGAACTCAATATATAGAGAATGTGCTGGTGCTGATCAAGTGATCCTAAGCTTTCCCAGGTTTGAACTTTTTCCCCATCTTTTTGAAGTGATACTCTTTTCCTGTTTTACAGAAACTAGAAAGAAAGAAGATATATCCGTAGCTTGCCAACTTCATGTATTAATTATAGTGTGTAATGGTTGAAAAGAATGGAAGTCGGGCACATTTTAGCGTTTGGTAGAGGGTGAGTTTTACCTACCTTTTAGGTTAAGCCTTTTTTTTTTTTAATAATCATTTCTGAAGTGCTTAAACTACAAGAGAGTCACTTTAAGATCACGTATAAGTTTTTCATCAAGAAGTGTTTTAAATTTGTTTAAACTATAACCTTAAATTTGTTTCACCGACTGATAATGAAAGTTTTCAAATAGTGGTTGGTCATACTGTGCTTGGTCACAGTTTTGTATGTGAAATTAGTATGGGGATCAGTTGTATCATACATCTACTTTTGTTTTACATTTGCAGGCTCATTATGAGGGAAAGTTGCAGTCAGTTTAAGCTTGAATTTAGATTTTTTGTTTCCTTTCCCTTTTTAAATGTAAAGGAGATGTGGTTATCAGTTATAAAGATATTATATTTTCTCATGCCTTCAAAATTGTTATGCTTTTTTTTTTTTCTCGGATCAGACCTCTAGTAAGCTACTCTATCATATACTTGGAGTGCAAAATTAGATTTCTTTAGCTACCATTCCAAATCTCTAACCTTAGCTTTAGTCTTGACGACTAATTTAAATCATACCTACTTTCGGGAGTGATTTTGGCATGGCTAGAATAGTCAAAATTTCTTCTATTTTAGAATAGACATGTCCAACAATCCAATATTTTTAAGTGATTTTGGGTCAAAAAAAATTATTAGGAAATTTGTTTCTAAAATGGTTACTGTTTTGTTMAATTTTGTTTTTTTATTTCACCCTTAAATGTTGAGAAAATTTATTTTTTTCCTTCTAAAATATTTGTCTCTAACTTTATTTATCTTTAATTTTGTTTGTTCACACTAATCTCTCCTCTGTGAATCTTTGAGTCAGTTTATTTCTCTAAAATGTCTCCAAGATCTTTTTTCCTCTGACCTCTCCCCAAAAGTTGTCAAAATTTTTCTTTTAAACTTCAACTATTAATCCTAACTAAGCCACTTTTAATCATATGAAAATTATTTGATATTAAATTATTATATAAATAGTATTTGTCAATAAATCTTTTTTACTAAAATCATTTCCAAACACACCTTTTAATGTATTTGTTTTTCAACATACCTTGTTTCAGAAAAGTAGATGCATTTTACAGCACATATCTTTAAGAAGAATGGCCTACCATGTGAATATTTGGGCCTTTTCCAGTTTTTTTTTTCACAGATACCTCCCTAACTTTCTGGTGTGGAGATGAGTTGACAGAAAAACTAATGTAACCTAGCCGAACTACTACATCAGTGAAGATTGGTCCTACAATTTAACACGAGTCTTTTTAGTACTCACATTTTTCCTAAGAAAATTTTCAACTGCTCACCCGAGGTAGGATTCCTTTGGGTTAAACATGCGTTAGTTCAAAGTTTTTATGAATAGGTCATTGAAGCGAAATGTGTATCTTGTTAGTACTAACTATCAATTCTCATAAATCGTATTTAATTATTTTTAAATAGCTTTAGAATCTCTCTCATTTTGATGAAGTATTGTGTCATTCGTGTTGTCTGCTTGGCGGGCATCACAAATAATACTCCTCACTTATAAATTTTGCGCAATTTTAATATGAATAAAATTTGCTTACTTGTCCAGCAAGCAGTAGTTCTATTTTACTTCCTGAGTTTGATTTACTTCTAGTGGCTCAAAAGTATTAGCAGGATTAATTTTTTATTAAATACAATACCAATAGAAAAATACAAGAAGAGGGCATGGTTTCTCTTTATGATGTTGAAATTGTATAGGTCTTCTAATTCGACTTGAAAACTTAATTTTGTTTTATTTTCTGAGCAGTTTTTGAAAGGTGTGGTTGTGGTGGCGTACCACAACCTTGAAATGAAATAATCAACAATTTTTAATATTGATTTGTGTCACTCTGACTCCACTCGAGATTGAGAATTGGTCGCCACTTTTGGGAGCCATCCCTCCGATGTCCTCAAACTTTATGGGATTCCCAAAAGTGTCAACACACCAATGTATTACATTACTAAGGGAATAATGGTAAATATGAATTTTACGAATTTGAGATCATTATTAGTAATTACTACTCAACGAAACATTTTCTAAATTGAAATTCAATTTTCAAATCTTCTGTCCGAAAACACATATGGTCAACCAAACCGCTCTAAATTTTGGGTGGGTTTAATTTTTGTTTTAGTAGTTTCAATGTTGGGGAGGAATGAATTCTATGAATCTCCAATCTCTTGTTTCTCTCACCTAAGTCTTCACGTGTGATTTTTAGATTCAAATGTAATCCAAATGAAAAATAAATAATTAAAAAATTAGATCAGATTGCAGTTTCTGCGTCGGTGACCGACCACCAATAACCATACCATAGATAGCCACGTCCGAAATTACAATAATATCCCTCGCCCCTTCGTTTTGTCTGGTTCTTGTGCCACGTCACCCATCTTCTTCTTCCCTCTCTTTATCATATTCAATTATTATTATATTCATTCATTCGCCTTTTTCAGTTTAAGTAGAATTCAAGAAAACTGGGGTTCTTTTTTTCTTTTTCTTTTTTTTTCCCCTTTTTGGATGAAATATATATTTTTTAAATTATAATAAAAATAGAAATTCAAACAAAATCAAATCAAATCAATTTATAATAATAAAATAATGCCTTGCGCTTGCCAAATTTTCATACGCGGTTTTGGATTTAACGTTTCTCACTCTTTCCTTTTCAATTCTCATATTGATTAAGACTTCACACTCCACCATTATCTCTTTTTACAAAAAAAATATTAAATTACGGATTTAGTTCTTAACTTTTAAAATTAAGTATAATAAATCTCTAGATTTCAAAAAATGTATTATAGGTCACCAAAATTCTCAATGTTGTATTTATAAGTTTCTTACCTTTACAAGTATTCACTACATCTTTAAACTTGTCTATTTGATCTTTGTCATATTAAGCATTTTTAAAATTTAGAAATCTTTAAAAAATAAGATACCTAACCTTTCAACTTTGTGTATAATAGTTTTTTTTAATTTAAAAAAAGAAAGTTCATGAACCTATTGACACAATATTAAATTCTTAAATACCTATTAGTATCGATCATTTTTTTCTTAAGTTTAAAAACCTACGAGACACCATACTAAAAGTTCAAGAATAGAACTAATTTAATCTTTATAAAAATATAGTTAAAATATAATTCATGGTTGAACTTTCCTAGTCAAATCTTTTAAGTTTCTAACTCTTAAAAAGTTTGATACCATTCCAAATTTGTAATCTTTACAGGACATGCTAATTAAAATTAACAAATCATAATTGAAAGCCAAACGCGAAGATATATTAATTAATCAAGATATTATTTAACCACTATGGTTGAAAAAATTCCATGGGCAGACAAATAAATCTTGAATAGAATTTTTTGAACCTTTCACCCATATTTTTTTGCAGCTCTCCTACTCTCCCATGCCCATAAAAAAAAACAAAAGAAAAAAAGAAAATATATATATAAACTCTTTTGAAATACTGTACAATCAAATCACCACGTGTCAGACTCCTATTGAATCTTTCTCTTGCATTTGTTTTTAATGTTAGGGTTCCCAAACATATATAACTAGTACGGCAGTAACTGGCGCTGCACAGAAACAGCTGATTGATTCATCTGTTTCGCTTTCCAACGTTCCTTTTCATTCGCTTTTAATTTTTTAATTTTTCATTTTGAATTTCGATCCCATTTGTTCTCACTACAAAATTTCGGATTCCTAATTTCTCTTTCTCCCCTTTGAGTTGTGTTCTTGGTTCTTCCTTATATTATTTTTTGTTTATTGATTCCACCATTCAATTATAACCGTTGAGGTTGAGGGCCCCCATTTATCTTCCATCTCTCCCTCTCTTTTAAACCCATCTCTTGAATTTTTCCATACCCTTTTCCTCCCACTCTCCACTTTCTTTGGTGGCAGTTGTGTTTGTTCTCTTTCAATTTTTCAAAATCGCATTGGATTCAATTTCACACCCTTCTTTTGATTCTGTCTCCGTATTCAGCTTAAGAATCTCACAGCTGCTGCACCATTTATATATATATATATATATATATTCTTCTGTTTCTTTGATTTGTTCTTCTTTTGGGGTTCTTCTTCCTTTTCCCCTGTTTCACTCTTTTCACACGGTTTCCAGATTTGTGTTTGTTTCGCTTCTTCTCCCCTTCGTGTTATTTCCATTGAAGACAGGTAGAAGAAAGAAGCATCAACTCCTTTTTTATCGCAAAAGTTTACTTGATTCGTAGCTTTTGTTATTTATTTTCTTCTTCATCGCTTTATTGGATTCTTCTCTCTCCTCACGATCTTAGTAGTCGTGGGGCGGCAAATATCGCTGGATCTTCGCTTCTACCACGCCGCCATCATCTCCAAGTTTGGGGAAATTGAAAACGTTGAGTATTTTTTTCCTTTCTTCTCGTGATCAATCTATTGAAATCGATTTCGTTTGGCCCTTTTGAAGTTCCTCTGGGAATCATTGGTTTTCTTATTGGGTTCTTTGGGTCCCTGTTTTTGGTTGTGGGAATCGGGCAATGGAAAGAAGATTAGGGTTTCTGAAGTGGGTTTTATTGGTTGGGGTATTGGGTTGCTGTGTTGAAGGTCTTGGGGTTAATTGGGGAACCATGGCCAATCATAGATTGCCGCCTAAGACAGTTGTGCAGATGTTTAAGGATAATGGGATTAAGAAAGTGAAGCTGTTTGATGCAGATCAGTCCACCATGGGTGCTCTGGCTGGGAGTGGTATAGAGGTCATGGTTGCCATTCCCAATGATCAACTTGCCGCCATGGGGGACTACAAGCGAGCTCAGCAATGGGTGCAGAGGAACGTCACTCGCTATAACTTCGATGGAGGAGTTGTCATCAAGTAATTCAATCTACTTTTTTCTTCAAACTATTTCAAACCACAGAAAAATAGATTGTGTTTCCTTGGTTTTTGATTCTAAACTTACTGAAGCCTCTTTTGTTTTTTTTAGTTTTCTTTAATAAGTTATTGGGTCATTTGGATCTTCCAAATCCCCTCCCCCTTTAGATAGTTATGTTATTTCTATATCTGAGGAAGTCAGAAAGTTTGCATAAGTGATCCAATCCATATTTGGATGGTTGTTTGAACATATTTCTTATTGYTATATTTAATTAGCAATCTGAGACACCACGGTTTGAGTTTTTTCCCTTTTTTATTTGAGATGGGTTTTGGAAATGGATTCAAGTTTTTTTTTATTTATTTTTTTTATTTTTTAGTATCGACTCTCATAGAATATTGTATGAATCGTTGGCTCTCCAGTTTCAGAAAAGGTTCGAAACTTATTTAACTATTTAAAACAAGTTGTGGATACGGTTTACTTTGACCAAGAACCCCTTAATGGATTGATCCTATCTGCCACTGGAATTTAGCTGTCCCGTTCTTTATGAAATTTGACAAATTTCTGTTCCTTTAGAAATGATAATGTTAATTATTGTGCATGTCAATTCTCTTCCTTAGATAGATGGGTGTCGTTTTCTTAGTTAATAAATACCAAAGCAAAGATTCTACTGAAAAGTATAGTTTAGTTTGCAATCTCTATGGAAACTAATATTACCTGTTTGGATGGAACTAGTTCTCTTATTATGCTGTTTTTGTACAGATATGTTGCTGTTGGTAATGAACCATTTCTGTCCTCCTATAATGGATCATTCCTGAATGTTACCTTTCCAGCCCTTCAGAACATTCAAAATGCCCTCAATGAAGCTGGTCTTGGAGACTCCATCAAGGCAACGGTGCCCTTAAATGCTGATGTTTACAACTCCCCGGTTAATAGCCCTTATCCATCCGCTGGCAGGTTCCGCAGCGATATTAACGGGCTCATGACCGATATTGTGCAGTTTCTAAGCAAGAACAATGCGCCCTTTACTGTAAACATTTACCCTTTCCTCAGTCTTTATGGCAACGATAACTTCCCTTTCGACTATGCTTTCTTTGATGGGGCAAGTAATCCCGTGGTTGACGCTGGCAATGGGATTCAGTATACGAATGTTTTTGACGCCAACTTCGATACATTGGTTTCGTCTCTGAAAGCTGTTGGACATGGGGACATGCCAATTCTAGTTGGCGAGGTTGGATGGCCAACCGATGGTGACAAGAATGCCAATGTCGGTAATGCTTATAGATTCTACAATGGCCTTCTACCGAGGCTTGCAGCCAGTAAGGGCACCCCGCTGAGGGCTGGATACATTGAAGTATACTTGTTCAGTTTCCTGGATGAAAATGGCAAAAGTATTGCTCCAGGAAATTTCGAGCGACATTGGGGTATTTTTGGATACGATGGCCAGCCAAAGTTCGGCATGGATCTTTCTGGTCAGGGCCAAAACAAACTACTTGTAGGAGCACAGGATGTGCAGTATCTTCCTCGCAAGTGGTGTATGTTCAATCCAAATGCCAAGGATCTCAGTAAACTTGCTGATAACATAAACTACGCCTGCACCTTTTCGGATTGCACTTCCCTCGGCTACGGATCTTCCTGCAATAATTTGGACGCTAACGGGAACGCATCTTATGCATTCAATATGTATTTCCAGGTGCAAAATCAAGATGAAATGGCCTGTAATTTTCAAGGTTTAGCCACGATAACGTCACAAAATCTTTCACAAGGTACTTGCAATTTCATCATTCAGCTAGGTTCTTCCTCGCCCCCGCCCCTTGCTGCTTCATTTGTTAGTTTAGCATCTATGGTCATGTTATTGACAGCATTATKACTATAATTTTCTTCTGTAGATACTCTTCCATGGATGTCCCATTTTAATAATTTTTTTACTTTTTTTTCTCAATGTACTCGTAGCGTTCACATTTAAGTTATTGATTACTTGATTGATTCTATTCGATCATAATTCTGGCCCTCACTATGGTCATATACAATATGACTCATAATATTTGTTAAATCTATTATCTTGTCTACGTTTTGCCTCGGAACAGTGCATACGAATCCGCTTTAACTGAACACCATAAATAAATGATCACACTACACTCCAAGTAGCAATCTGTCTGTAGTACTAGAAATTGTACACAAGGATGCATCATCCGTGCTTACACTAGGATTATCTCACATGTTTCTTGAGAGTTAAGAGCCTCATTATTCTAACGAGAACTGAACCGTTGCAGCTTCCAACTCGGTGTCGGTAGTATTCTCTATGTAGAGTAATGATAGGTTGTAGAAGTAGAAGAAGAGGATGAGGTATTCATCATTCTCATCTCCATAACTCTCTTGTGGGAATTGGAATGTAAGAAACTCACAAAAGTAGGGCTGTTGGCTGGTCTATACTCTGGATGCAATCTCCCAGACTTGTATCTAACTCCACATGCATTGCATAATGTTTTTGGTCCCAATGGCCCACCCCTCCACTGTGGAGTCCTCTGTGCCTGACAATGGCTGCATCTCCTCCCACTCCCTCCACCCTCCATCTTCAAGGTCTTGATTGTTGTATCTCTCTCATCCATGTCCATGTCCACCACCGCCTTCTTTCTTTCTTCTTCCTCTTCTCCCGCCGCCTTATGAGGAAGCAAGAGCTCGCTCTCGGCCAACCAGTAGGTCTGTTGGAGCAAAAGAGGGTCTGAGTCTGAGTCTGAGTCCGAGGAGGAGGTGGAGGTGGTTGACTGTAATGAATGACGGAGACGTCGACCGATGAGATGGTGAATGCTCATTTTGGGTGCCACCCGTCTTCTTCTCTTACTTCTGGCCTTGCCGAGGACCGTGGAGAAGTTGGTCAATGGCGAGTTCGAAGAAGGGACCGATGGGGGGTTGTTGACGCGTGTGGATGGTGTTGGGAGGGGGAGGCTGCTTCCTTTGGTTGATAAGCATTCTTCCACAAATGCTGAAAGCCACTCCAAGCTTACATCAACTTCCTGAATGAATGCATCATATGAACCTCAACATTGGTTGGTACTAGTCACGAAACAGAGCAGGAAAGAAAAACAGAGCAATGGCTTTTAAAACGACATGCATACCTTTGTCGTCTGGGACAAACAGAGGTCGTCATCGTCGAGATCGGAAGTAAACTGAAAGGCTCCAAGGTTAGAACAATCGTCTTGCTCGAATTCGCTGGTAACCGACACCATATTCGGGCAGTAATCAATGGCGAAAGGAAGCAAGAGCAAAGGGAAGAGAAGAGAAAGAGAGGAAAAATAATAATAATTGCAGAACTGTATGAACTAGCAGTAGTATGGTGATGTTTATGAGTATTTTTTTTCTTTTTCTACTTTATTTTATTTTTATTTATTTTTCTGTCGGCAGATTATGATAGTTCACTTAGCAACCATCAGAATTATTCAAACCAACGTCCCCATCTCCTCTTCCCTCCGCCAATCGTTCAAAATCACAATTACTTTTAAAATTTTCATTTTTATTTATTTATTTTTATTAAAGTTTATCTAATGACAAATGTCCGCATCATTAGTGAAGAATAATAAAAGTTCAATGTGGAATTTTTTCTACAAATATTTCAAACGAGTGTGATAATGTGGCATTTAGTTTCAATATAATATGGGGTGTGACAAGTTTTGATTGGTTGAAAAATATGATAGTTTGAGTTGGGAAAGCAACGAATATTTTCTTACTAGATTTTCTATAACTCATTTTTTAGTGCAACCACATAAAATTGTATGGTTTTTTTTTTTACTTCTTACACAAATGATAGATATGTGATGGAAACGGAAGTGTAGGAAATTTTGAAGATTCAAAGGATGTTAAATTTTCACTTTCATAAATGCAATTAACACAAAAAAAATGAAGAAACGTGTGTGCTTGTTAATTGGGTCAGTGTAGAACCACAAATTTTGGGTTCAGGGATGAATTACATATTAACCCTAATTAAAGATAAATTGACAATTGAAATATGTCACATGTATTTCATTGGGTCCTTGGATTAAATTGGTTTAATTGAGTCCTATGAGATTTGGGTCTGGAATCAATTTGGTTCATAAATTTGGCCCAAAACTCAAATTAACATGAGACTAGGTGGATTATTATTTAAATTTAACTAAATTTAAATTCACTTAAAGAATTGGGCTGGGACCAAAATTATCCAAAGCCAAAAACATATGGAAACCCCTATTAGGAGTCTCCTCCATTTTGACGGGTTCAGAATTTTAGAATTGGGGGAATTCACACCAAGTTGAAGACACTCTAAAGACTTGAACATTTGAAGATCAACTTGAAGACTTGAAGACTTTCGAAGAACATGTAACTTCGATCCAAATTCAAGAACAACATCTCAATCTTCACATCGAGTTCGAGAGAAAGAATCAGAGGATAAATATTAGATATTAATCTACTATACAATACATACAAATAATATAAAAGTTCAACTCCACGATATATAATTTCTCCTGAGATCTCGTGTGAACAAATTGTCACGCCCGATGGGACCATCTCTACCTCTCATCTCTTTCTCAAGAATCAGACTTCTCTAAAAATAAAAAAAGAAAAAGAAAAAGAAACAAGACGTATAAAAAAACTTCTGCATAAAGTACTTCTGCTCCAAGCGACTCCTACATAGGACCGATCACCCGTAGTCGTTCAAAAGAAATCCGGCTAAAAGAAAATCAAACTCCTCCAGCTGTTGCCAACAAAATACTGCAGCAGATGAAGAAACCTGTTCAAGTTGGGATCGTTATGAAGGAGAACCTTTTATTCACAGAGTCCGCTCCTTCCTCTGTTCAATTGGAGAAAATTCTAGAAATCGATGTGATGTCTTTTATAATGGTTGATGCAAGCAGCACGAAAGAAAGAATGGCTAAAATTGAAAGGAAACACGCTGCATTGATGACGACAGTTGAAGAAAGAGTATGAAATCGCTTCCGTGAAAAATCAAATCGAAAGTTGAGATGTTGCTCAGTCAAGTCAAACCTCTGCCCTCAGGTTAAAAAATGATCTACATTATTTATTATAAAATCTATTCTCACAAACAACACCAATAGGTTTCTGATTATAGACAAATCATTATAAACTAAAAAAAAAAAAAGGCCTCTGTTATAATTGATTTTCATTTTAGTTTCTTCATAAATATACAAGACGTTAATGTTTAATTAACAATAAACATCAAACCGAAAAATTAAACATATAAAAAAATTAAACATATAAAAAATTAAATTAAAAAAGAGAGTAAAAATAATTTTAATTAAAAAATGACTACATTATTTATCATAAAATCTGCCCAGAGGAATATAATCGGTTAAGACATCTTACTCTTCACTTCTACATGTCAGAGGTTCCATCTTTACCTTTGTTGCACAAAAAAAAAAGAAAAAAAAAGTTGTATTGTATAGTTTTTTTTGGGTTTTTTTTGAATATTATTATATATTAAACTTATTTTAAAAATATTGTTATTTAATTAAAAATATTCGAAATACGATAGTTTTTGAAACTTTTTTTAAAAATATGGTTGTTTTAAAAAACCAAAAGATGGTTATCCATCCCTTGTGGTCGTCTCTTCCAGAGACAACCATGCAACGTGGCACCACGCCGGATGCCACGTTGCATGGTTTATTAAAATTTGACCATTTTGAACGTGGTCGACGACCATCTGAGATGGTCGTCTCTAAGACGACCACGTCTCAAAATGGTCCACGTGTTAGATGGTCATCTCTAGACCATCTACAAAACCCACCCCTAACCCTTTTTTTAAAAGTCTATCCCACCATTAAACCCCACCACTAATATTTTATTCCGCCGCCGCCACCGGAGGATCGAGACCTTATAGAGAGTCAGGAGACACTAGCGGCACCATTAGTTCATCGTCAGCCACATCGTAGTCGGCGACGTTCTCATTGTGGAACGGATTAGATCGATAGACTGTAAATTGGCAGACTACAGAAAAATAAAATATAAATTTTTGTTTACACAGCATAAGTATAGAATACGGTTTAAATAAAAAATTTTGTTAAATTAAAATACAAATTAATAAATTTTGATAAATTAATAAAAAAAATAACAAAATATAATAAAATATAATAAAAAAATTAATAAATATAGTTAATAATAAAACTTATTTTAAAAATTTAGTTAATAATATATTTAAGGGRATTTTTTTTATTAATATAGTTAATAATAACTAGAGATTAAACTGAATTTTTAGCTAATAAATTAATAAATATACCCAMTCATTTGTATTTTAATTAAAAATATTTAAAATATGGTATGTTTTGAAAACGTTATTAAACACTTATTCACTCAAAAAAATAAAAAAAAAATTAATAAAAACCCTAAACAAAAATTAATGTGGTTGTATCTTGCAAGATTAATAAAAAAAAATGAGATGGTCTCTGACGACCATCTCCCAAATTTTAAAAAAAATTTATGTGTGGCGCCACGTTGTATGGTCAAAAAGATAGACCATCCTTCACTTTTTTAAAACAATTATATTTTTAAAAAAAATTTCCAAACATATTATATTTTTAATTAAAATACAGTATTTTTAAAATGAGTTTTATTATTAACTATATTAATAAAAAAGAACCCCGAGACAGGGTGGGGAAAGAGAGATAGAGAGAAATATTGAAAAAATAGATAGATATTGAAAAGGAAAAAAAAGAAAAAAAATCAAGTTAAAATTTTCACGTGAATCTCCTGCCACACATATATTTATGTTACTTTGACTTTATTTATTATTATATTCTATTTTTTACACACTTTTCCACTCCACCCATTCCCACTCCCACTTTCTTAGTTACACTAACTTTTTTCTTATCTTTTTAATTTCTGTCTGTTTCCCTCTTTTTTTCCCTCCCACTCTTCAATTTCTCTCTCCACCTTTCTTTCTTCTTCTTCCTTCTTCGTGCTCCCCTCGTTCTCTCTTCTTTTCCATTAGAACTCTGCATTTTAGTCACACAACCGCCATCAAAATTACTTTTGTTATATAGTTTGTTATCTATCAAAAACTGACCAAAATCGACCGACCGAACTGTCGGTTGACGATCGGTTTGCACGAAGGTTAAAAAAAATATTTTCCGACCGATCGAACTGACATGGTCGGTTTTCGGTGTCCATTTTGTTAAAACATCGGGTCGGTATATTTCAGGGGCGAGAGATGTTCTTCAGGGTGATAAGGATGGGGTTCGAAGACATATACGTATCAAGTCGAAGTTCATCATCCAACAAGTATGGCAAAGACTACTTCATATGCACTAGCCCTGCTTCCACGTTGGTTCCTGTGACTATAAAACCTGGTGAAGAGGGGAGGGGCGCCTAAGTGATCGAGCATGATGACTTGTAATTAATTTTCTCTCTTCAAAATCCACATTTTACCCAAATTCATTGTGAACATTACACCACATGATCAAGTAAAGTAGCAGCCAAAATTTACATATGCTCCTCCATTTTCGAGGACTTTATTAATGAGTTTCTCTGGTCTCCTGAATGTGATTATACTATTCACAAGCTGGCACTGTTCTATTATAATATAGATCAATGAGCAGAATAACTACTTTTTTTATTACAGGATTTATCAATCTCAATCTCCTCTGTTTGCCTACAATGGCTTCACCTGAGGGAAGAATAGTCCCCGCAGCGGTTGCTCTGCCGCTGCAGGATCGAGTGGCTATCGTGACTGGCGCCTCTCGTGGCATTGGCCGAGGCGTCGCCCTCCACCTTGCTGCTCTTGGCGCCAGAGTTGTAGTAAACTACCTATCCAGTTCGGCTGCAGCCAGTCGTGTTGCTGCCGAGATCAACTCCTCCCCTGCAGCCGACATCGCGGGGAGCTACCCCCGAGCCGTTACGTGTCAGGCAGATGTGTCTAAGCCAGACGAAGTGAAGGCCCTATTCGACACTGCCGAGGAGGCATTCGGGTCCCCAGTCCATATCCTGGTCAACTCTGCCGGAATTTGGGATCCTACATATCCATATATTGCAGATACATCTTTGGAGATTTTCGACCGAATTTTCAGGTCTTCTCTATTCTAGAATACTATTTTGTACTTTCAAATGTCAAAATTTTGCTTTTTACTCTCAATTAGTGAAGCTTAAATTGAGGTGGGTGAGTATATTTTTAGTGTGAACGCAATGGGGAGTTTCCTGTGCTGTAAAGAAGCGGCAAAGAGAGTGAAAGGCGACGGTGGGGGGCGGATTATAATGATCTCGTCGTCAGCGGTGGCGGCACCGTCGCCGGGAATAGGGGCGTACACGGCGTCGAAGGCGGCGGTGGAGGCGATGACGAAGACTCTGGCAAAGGAACTGAGAGGGACGGGGATTTCGGCGAACTGCGTAGCGCCGGGAGCGACGGCGACAGACATGTTGTACGGAGGGATGGATGAGGAAGCAGTGAAGAAGGTGATAGAAAAGTGTCCGTTGGGGCGGCTTGGGTATCCGACGGACGTGGCTTATTTGGTGGGCTTTTTGGCTTCCGACGACGGTGAGTGGATCAATGGCCAGCTCTTGCTCGTCAATGGCGGCATCGTCTAGTTTCTTTGAGATTTGTCCGATGTGTTGTGCTGTGCTGTATTGTTTTGTGTTTTGGATTTGGAATCTTGGACAATTGTTTTGAGCAACTCTCACTCAACTAAAAAACGAAAGAAGGATAATTTAATTTGAGCGTTTAAATATTTCCTTGCCTTTGTAACCATCTCTTTATTTATTTATTATTATTATTATTTTATGAGTAAATTTTGATTGGATAACTTTATTTTTCTAAAAATGGGTTTTTGAATAGTCAAATGCAATTAATAATATACTCTAATCTTATTCCGTCTCTATAAATAAAAAACTTGTCAATTGACATATAAGTTGCCAAACCGAACGTAGTTCAAGTTTTTCACCTCTTAAAAGTGGCCTATATTAAATATTCGTCAACACTATTATCATTTTCAATTTATTTAAAGTGTATTTGAGAATGATGATAGAATAAGTTATTTTGAAAAATGAGATTTAAAAATAATTGATTTTCTAAAATTATCATCGTTCCTTCCAAATCAATTTTAAATGATTTTTTTATACTTTTATAACATCAATATTATTTACCAAACAAATGGGAGTGATTTTGATAATGGAAAAAATGATTTTGCCTGCAAAATCACTACCCAAAAACCTTTAGAGAGTATAAAACGATTATTTGTTAATTTAAATATTTTTTTCGAGTGCTAAAGCAAGGATAATTCAGTAATTGACATATATCTCTAATCAAGAGATTTAGTGGTAATTGACATATATCTCCAATTTAAGTTCGATATCTCACCTCCACATGTTATACTATATATATATATATTCGAGTTTTTTATTTTTATAACTTTTTCAGATATATCCATCGACATCTACATTTTATTGATATTTTGATGAAATTAAGACTTGGACATTCAAAACCCTACTTACTTATTACCCAATATTTTGGCAACCATTTCTAGAGTTAATGTAACTTTTGACCATTTTTTAGGGCACCCACCCAATAAATATAAGTTATCCCCTTTTTTTTCAGAAAATATTAAATTGTCGACCATTATTGAATTTGTTAGTAAATAAAAGAGAAAAATACAAAAAAGTAGGGATGAGTAAGCAAGGTCGAAAAACCGATCCGACCGAATCGACGTCGGTCGGTTGGTTGATGAGATGAATCGGTCGACGTCGGTTTTTTCAAATAGAAAATCGACTAATCAGTCG